CGCTGGGGCCAGGCCCAGGCTTTCCAAGGCCTCAGCATCTGCTCAGCTGTCAGTGGCCCGGTGGGTAGTCCCAGCCAAGGAGGAGAGTTATTTTTATTTATTTCTTCTTAATCATGAACTTAATTTAGCTGCTAATCAGGTTACCATGGTGACTTGCACTGGATTTATAGCAGTTTCCTAAAGTGCCTTTTTCACACTCTTTGGGTAAATGAATAGAATTTGGGTGAAGAGCAAAATGCATAAATATTGGGTGCCCTAGGAAAAGGTCAGATGCTTCAGTTGTGTATTTGCCTTTGACTCTGCCTAATGCACTTAAGAAAGACCCGCACTCTGGGCAGACCCCACGTGCCTCTCTTCTGCCCTCCCTATTACCACCAGTCAAGTCTGAAATTTTTACACTGCTCTCAAGGCCTGTTCCTCTAGCCTCACCTCCCTCACACTCTGCCTTTCCGCTCCCCTGTGCTGTTCCCTGCACGCTTGTGCTCTGTGCCTTTGCCTGCGTTGTGCCTGGGTTACTTTCTCGCTCCTCTTTCCTGGGAGTGACGGTGGCCTGGCTTACTTTGGGATCACACTCCTCCCAATGTGGTATCTGAGAATACCTGGGAATGCTCTCATTGGTCCCACTGCCACCGTGGCAGGGGTGACGACTACTATGCCAGCCAGCCCAGGAGAGCAGGGCAGGGAGGCGGGAGGGAGAGGAAGTGAAGAGCCAGCGTTTTGACAGCTGTCTCTTAGAGTCTGGAGGGCTCACCTAGTGTTCCATCTCTGTGGTTATGGGGGACACAATTCATCTCCCCTCACCCCATGGGCTCGAGGCACTCCTGCCTTAGGCCAACTAGAAGCCCCCACCCTGTGCCTCCCAGAAGGGACAATGTCTCCAGGCTGGAGGCCACAATTTCCAGGTTTCCCCTGAGGACCTTGGGGCCGGCTGCCAATCAGCCCTGGGATCAGCCACAGTCCATTAGCGAATGCCCAGGGCCCAAGGCGCCAACGAAGCCACCAGCATCGGCGCCAGATTCCACTCAGGGAGCCCAAAGCCACCTTCAATTATTGTCTTGGACTTTGTAATCAGACAAACTGGACTCACAGACAGTGGACTGGCTCACTCGACTCAGAAAGTCCCCCAGCCACCAGCCCTGACCCCCTGAGCTTACCATTCACCACTGTGTGAGCCTCCCCAGTCGCAGGAGGAACAGTCTGCCCCACTCTGTAGCCTATGAGGCTATGTGAGCTCATTGAGTGGATGCCCCTCTCCGAGCCTCGCTTCCCTTATCTGGAAGCTGGGCTACAGTCAGGGCAAATGTGCTGGCATCACTTCTAGCCCTTCTGAACTTGAAGTCAGAAGAGCTGGGTTCAAATCCTAGTGCTGCAGCCTTATTTGCTTTAAGATTGAGGCCAAGGGAAGCAAAGGTCGGTTCCCAGAATGCCTTTAGAAGGATGAGGTTAGCAGGTCTAGACTAAAATGGTAACCAAGAAGGGAATGTCTGTGATATGCCAGGCAAACCCTAAAAAGCTACAGTGACTTTGGCAGGCATGTTTGTCCATTTTCGTCCCCTAGGAATTCTTCCCAAAATGAACATGACTCAAGGGTTTGGGGGTGGGTGGGTAGAGGGATGGTCCCCTTTACCTGAGCATGGAAGGACCTGGGGATCTAGACACAATAGCCCAAGGCGTGAGAGATTCTGGAGTTCTAATCCTAGCTTAGTGGAAAATGTATGTGTGATCTTGGTCAAGTCATTCAACATCACTGGGCTTCAGAAGTGTTTTTCTGGGAAGAGCAAACCCCACCCAAAGGAGACTGGGACCTTATGTCCCCAGATTCCTCTCTAGTATGTGAGTTTGTCAAGCTGATTCTGGCACATCTCACAGCAGTAAAAGGCAGAAAGTATGACTTTGTAAAGCTCAAAGAACAAACCCTTTTTGGCCACTGGGGGCTGCCTTACTCCACCCTCACCTTAGTGCAGAACTAACAGGTGCCCACTCCCTGCAGTGATTCAGCAGCATCTGGCACGGAGGAAAGCAGGGGAGCTCCCACTGACTTGGTGTGTGTTACACGGCGCTGTGTTGAAGAACACAGGCTATGGAGTCCAACTACCTGGGTTCAGATACGAGCTGTGCCATCCTTGGGCAAGTTGCCCAACCACTCTGTGTCTCCCTCACATGTGTAATGAGGCTAATAGCACATTTACCTCATAGGATTGTTGGGAAGATTAAGTGAGCTAATCCACACTAAGCACTTAGTGTTGTGTGTTGACGACCAAATACGTTCCCCATAGGTCAGTTCTCAAAGCCGCTATTAGCCCCATCACACAAGGAAACTGAGATGCAGAGAAATGAAATCTCTGATCTGGGCCCAGTGCTTTAAATCAGTGCCTTTGCCATCAGACCTTGCTGTTCGATAAGATCAATGTTCTCAACTGACTTGTTTTGCAAAACAAGTTCTTACAGCAATGGAAATAGAGAAGGGAGTAGGGAGTTCATTAAGAAGGGCAGGGTGAGCCACTGATCAATCCTAACATCGTCAGAGGAGAGGCGATTAGACGTTAGGATGTGATGCAACAAGGTGCGCACACACCCTCCATGAAGGCTTTTGGCTAAAAATCAAAGGTGACTGATCAGGCCTCTGGATCTGACTGCTGGTTTCCAGGAAACACGGGGGACAGAGGGACACGTTAGATGACACCACAAGGAGGCAATCAGCCAGAACATGAAACGGTCTGCAGGATAAATGACCCAGATTCATCAAAAACAAATGGCATTTTAAAAAAGAGAAATGACATTTTAAAATGTGGGGAGAAGGGGGGGCTGTTATTGTAAATTAAAAGAAACTTAAGAGACATATCAACCAACAGCAATGTTTGTGGCCTAATTTGAACAACTTAAATGTAAAAAGGTATTTTTGAGACAATGGGAATGTTTAAACATGAACCAAATATTAGATATTAAAGGAACTGGACTTTTTGGTTAGGTGTGATTATAGTATTATGCTTATGTGTTTTTTTTACCCTCACCTGATGATATGTTTATTGATTTGAGAGAGAGAGCGAGAGCGAGAGCGAGAGAGAGAGAGAGAGAGAGAGAGAGAAAGAGAGAGACAAACATCAATATAAGAGAGAAACATTGACTGGTTGCCTCCACGAGCACCCTAACTGGGGATGGAACCCACAACCTTTTGTTATATGGACCACACTCCAACCAACTGCGCCACTCAGTCAGGGCTATTTTAACATTTTAAAAGTCCTTCTCTATCAGCAGTACCCTCTAAAATATTTATGCATGAAATGAGATTATGTCTGGGATTTATTTTAAATCTCTAGTGAGGGGGTGGAATAAGAAGTGCCCAAAGGTTTATTATGATTCTCTAATTTTAAGTCTGTTTGAAAATTTTCATAATGAAAGGTTTAAAAAAATGAGGGGCAGAGGATGGAGGCCGATTACTAGGTAGGAAGAGTTACAAGTACAGGTTTCAGAAACATTGGTTGTGAACAAGGTTTGGCCCCGTGGAGACCAGACCTCCAACCCCTTGGCCATCAAAAAGTGGCATGTCTCTCATCCATTCTCGGGCCACCTGAGGGAAAACAAGTTTTGCATACTCATTCATTTACTAACTCACTTTACAGTTCATTCATTCACTTGACTCATTCATTCATCCATTAACTCAGACACTCTATAATTCATCCATCCTTCCATCCTTCCTTCCATCCATTTGTTTATTCAGTCAACACACCTATTTGTTGAGAGCCTCCAATGTGCCAGACACCAAAAGTAATCATCTCTGTCCTCCTGGTGCCGAGAGGCAGGAGTGGGGAAGGGATTCGACTTGATCAATCTCCCATCACACAAATATACCTTCACAAACCATGAAAAGTCTGAGGAATGAAGTCGACTGAGTGCCACTGGGGAGTTTAACACGTGGGGACATGACTTGGTATGGGGAGAAGGATGGTCAGGGAAGTACTCTGTAACACTTAAGCTGAGACTTGAACGATGAGGAGATGGCCACGTGAAAAGCCCAGGGAAGGGCATTCAGGCTCAGAGAAGAGCAAGAAAGAGCAAATGTGCTGGGACAGGAAGGAGCCTCCTGGGGCAGCAGGGACTGTCAGGAAGGGTAAGTCCAGGAGGGTTGCTAGAGCAAAGTGAGGGAGCAAGGAGACTCTGTAAGACTCTGTAAGTTGGACAACTGCTGTTCTTGAACCAAGGAAAAATTTCCCCCCATAAACAGAACTCATCATGTAGAGATGTGGGCTTTGGGCCAGCTGACAAATGCTCCTGCAAGTTATCAAGACAAGTATTGGGAAAGTTTGTGTACGTGTTGTCTAGTGAAAATGCTCCACTTACTGAAAGAATGGGAATCTGGAAGCAGGGTGGAGAGGAAGGGAGGGAGCCTGCCCTGTGGCAGAGAAGAAGCCACTACAAAGGAAATCAGTGGAATCGCTGAGTAAGGAAGACTCCCAGTTAGAGATTGTAAGACCCACGTTGAAAAGCAGGCCGGTGCCCTGCGCAGCCCCACCCTCCTCCAGCCAGCCCAGCCAGGGGAAGGAAGTCCCAGCCAACCATGGGGACAGTCACCCAGTGATTTATGGCCCTGAGACAAAGGCTCCCAAGGAAAGGCCCTGTGAAACACAGACGTGTTATTGGAACAATTAAAGCCCATCCATCTATTTGAGTCAGTATAGTATCCGGAAAATGGGCCTGAAACAAGATTGGCACAGGCTGAGCACCAGCTCTTCACATACGACTTTCCACAAAGCCAGGAGCTAATGGATATGAGCCCCATTTCTCAGACGAGGAAAATGAAGCCCCAAAAGATGACTTGTTCAGGGTCACCAGCTCAGAGAACCAAACTCAGGTCCCTTTGAGTTTGATCAAAGGCCATACTCTTTTTTAAAAAATATATTTTTATTGATGTCAGAGAGGAAGGAAGAGGAAAAGGGAGACAGAAACATCAATGATGAAAGAAAATCATTGATCAGCTGCCTCCTGCATGCTCCACACTGGGAATCGAGCCCACAACCCGGGCATGTGCCCCCACCAGGAATCGAACCATGACCTCCTGGTTCATAAGTCAACGCTCAACCACTGAGACACACTGGCCAGGCAAAGGCCATACTCTTTTTTGTCATATCTTACTGACTTCCTGGCAATTCCTGCAGCCACCTAGGGTGGCTGGTCCCTTGGAGGCTGCAGTTTTCCAAGACTGGACCACTATCGCCCATTGAGAAAGATGGGGCTCCCAGTTCCCAATTTACCCTAAAAACACACACACCAAGCTGGAGTATCCAAAGCTAACAGCAGCCTCCTCTCCTGCAGAAGCAGGTGCTCACCCCTCCTCTGGAGCTGCAATTCTACGGGGACCTTCTAGGGGTCGTGAGTGGCAGTCCCCTGCCTCCCACCATCTATGGCTTGCTGGCCATCATGAGAGATGGGGGAAGCAGCTCCTGTGAATGATTCCAGCCGCTCCACTCAGGACCACCGTGTCTGACTCAGCACTGGGATCCTAGCACAGGATCTGGCCCAAGAAGGCACACAGCACGTGTTTGCTGAATTAAAGAATGGACCACTGGCACTGGAAACACTGCAGCTAACCCATCTTGAGAAAGAAAAAAAAAAGATGGTTTATCAAATGATATGGAGACAGGGAAATGCTTAGAGTAAAATGTTCATTGTAAAAAGCAGACCACAAACCCATATAACAAAAGAAGGCCACATAAATCCAGCATGGTTTTAATCACATAAAATAACATGCATAGCAAACCTCCTGGATGAAAATGTAAACCAAAATATTAACAGTCATATCACTGTGCAATTGGCTTATATGCGGTTTTATCTGCTGCTTTAATTTTTTCCAAAATGTATTGAAGGAACATGTACAATTTTCCAAATGATAAGGAAAGGCCGTAACTAATTTTGTTTAGAAACATAGATTTAAATAATACAGTTTAGGGCACCGCCTGCCTCTCTGAACTCAAGAGCCAGCTCCTCAGTGCCAGATAGTGCCTTGCTATCCTGTGAGCTCCAGGAGAGCTCCCCTGGGCCCCAAAACCCACACCATGGCGCCTGCCCAGGGCCTTAAGGTGGAGAGCGTGGGTGCCAAGCCTAATAGCCATCTGCCAAATCCTCACCACGACCAGTACATTTCCACGACTCCTTTCCCCATAAGCAAGTCAGTAAATCAAAGCGCATCTCATACACTAGGTGGGCCCTTTCTGGTAAAACACAAAAAAACTTAATCTTTGGTCCAGAAGCAGTAGATTGCGGCAGCAAGTCAGCAGCCAAAACCATTAATCTTTGCCGCGTTCCCCAACTGGCCCGAGTAGTAAAGAAGATAATACCCCAGCAGAATCAGTGACCCACTACAAATTGGTCCTGAAAGGTCCACCAGCATAAATAGACTTTTGCTGATCCAACACTTGTTAGGAACCCCAACAAAGAGACTATTGGCTCATCTGATGAGCCGCTTGCAATGGGCCCTTGCAATGGCTGGTGATGGATGACCACCCTCCCTTGGAGGGGAAGATGCAGCTCCTGGTATGGGGCCCTTTCTCATCTTAAATTTGTCCTCAATAAATCACAGGTGCAGAGGAGCCGGCATCAGTTTCATTACACCTACATGCTCCAGTATCAATCACGCCACCATGGCGGCCTGTCTGGGCACAGTTCATTTCAAGTGGCTCCTTCTGTTCTGATTCTGTTTCTACTGCAATGCGTGCCTCCAAGGGGCTGGGGACCCAGATAGCGGGAGGAAGTAGCTTCTCCCAGAAGGCCTAGGCGTCCTTGGCCTCAGCAACTATCCCCTCCTCCTTCTCCATGAACTATCCCCCTGACGAGAGCCACTCTGAGCTCTGTACCCGATGGCTGTGCAAAGACTTTGAATCAGAAAGACTTGCTTTTAGGTAATGGCTCTGATATCTGCAAACTGGGAGCACGGCTGTCACCTTCCTTTGCTGAGGTTCAGTTTCCTCATCTGGAAAATGGGGCTAATAACACCTTACCTACTGCGATTGGACACAGCACTGTGTGTAAAAGAGCCTAGCACAGTGCTGGACTCAAAGTGGACCCTCAACTCAACTGTCAGGGTTGACAGTAGTCCCATTCCTGCCTGCGCTCATTCCTGGCCTGGACACCTGCTAGAGAGAAAGTACCCTGGGATGGCTGGCTTTGCTTTCCTTTGGTGCCCAGGCCCATAAGCAATCAGAAACTGCCGCTTCCTCTTCCTTATGCCCACCTGACTGGACCATTCAGAGTGCCAGCAACGGTGTATCAATTATAGCTCAGAATTTATGAAGATGCTGCCACGGCTCATTTTTTGTCTTGTTCTTTTCATTGTAGGCAGTTAAAATACACTAAAACTAAGGACACCAGGGAGCTCTCAGACCTCTTCTTAATGCACATAATCGAATACTATAATGTCATTAAATGCATGTACAAGGCTCATCATAAAAGCTGTGAACTTCTTTTTAAAGAATCCTAATTGAGAATAAATGGTTTCTTTTTAGGCAGGCCCTCAGCCAGTCTGCCTATGGCCACCAGAGGCAGGACCGACACACCCCTCCGAACCTGCCACTGGCCTCCTCCCCTCCTCCAGAGGCACAGCCCAGCCGCCTCTGCTGTGGGTGGAGTGATCAGCACCCAGTGGCAGTCCTGTAACTCATTAACCAAATGAGCAGGCCTTTGAGCCAAGAGAGAGGAGTGCAAAGGCCCCTGCTCCTGAGCGGGGCAGGAATGTCAGACAGACCAGCTTTTCAAAAAGACACTTCCTTTCACTCTAAACTGTCAAGAGATCTGGAGTGACAGGGCCATTTATTTGCAGAGGAGCTGGGGAGGAGAGGAAAGGAGAGGCAGGAAGAAGGAGGAGAAGGAAAAGGGACAGGAAGGAGAGGCACAGAGTTCGGAAAGCAGGTAGAGGAAGATGGAAAGGGAAATGGGGCCGGCTTTCTCCCACACAGGGCACACAGATGTCCATCAGCACTGCACTTCTGGAGGAAGAGTCGAGGGAATCACACATCCATGCAATACTTCTCCGAGAACAGAATGTAACAGCAATGATGATGATGACATTGAGTACATACTTCGTGCCTGTTCCTGTGGTTAAGTCCTTTACAAACACAAACTCACTTAATCCTCTTCACAACCCTATTCGGTAGCTACAGCATTCGCTGATCCTGAAACGTACACTTTCTTTTTCCCATTTTAACACCTCTAAAACTGAGATGCTTTTTACAATCCCTGTCAGCCTGACAACAGTCTTGATGTCACTGTCATATCTGGGAACACACATCAAAATGTTCAGAATGGGCGCTGGCCGGTGTGGCTCAGTTCGTTGAGCATCATCCCGGGCACAAAAAGGTAGCTGGTTCGATGCCCAGTCAGGGCACATACCCAGGTTGCAAGCTCGACTCTCCAGTAGGAAGCGTGCAGGAGGCAGCTGATCAATGTTTCACTCGCTCATCAATGTTTCTCTCGCATGCTCCTTCCCCTTTCTTCTCTCCCTAAAAATAAATAAAAAGTCTTTAAATGGGTATCTGCAGCTTAAGATCCCAAGGAAAAGAGAGGAGTGGTCTTTAAAGAAGTGCTATTACTAATGTTTACAATTGTACAGAAGATACTAGTATGTAGAAAAACAAGGACACCAACAATCCTGAGTCAATCTCTGAATATGAAAAAGTTTTAGGAATATCTTAAACTCATTATTTCACTTTGATTTTCCTCTATATTTATCTACAAAGGCCTTATGATAAAATATATATCTAAATAAACATAAGAATTATTTCCATAAGTTTAAAATTCTAAGGGGTAAGAAAGTCTCATATCATAGTTTAATTAGCTATAATTCTATTTTTCTTAGCATGACATAAAATAATGGCGCAATATACAATCACTGGCTTCTTGGACTAAGTGAGATATAGTACTGTCCCATCTAACAGATGAGCAAACTAAGGACTAGGCACTATCATTACTTGCTTGAGGCCACACAGAAAGTAAAAACCTCCAGATCTTTCTGATTCCAGAGCCTATCTTCCCAGCCAATATTGCCATTCTTTTCAAACATCTCCAGAACCAGATCAACATAGTTCAAATGCCAGTGTTGCCACTGACTGGCTTTGTGACCCAAGAGAGTGACTTCAAGTTTCTGACCAATAAAGCAAAGAAGCTAAGAAATCTGCTTCTCAAAGTTGTAGGGGAGAAAATCTTATGTGAAAAGGTTCAACATAATGCCCAGCCCCAAGAGTGGGGGTTGAATGAGGGTCAGCATTTAGGTCCATGGCACATCCAAGAACAACCCCTTAGCCTGTGCACAGCTGACTAAAGACTTGGGCAGCACCAGAAGCCAAGATCTAGGGCTGGAATGGTGGGTACTATCTTAGGACAAGCCAGTCTGTACACACTTCTAGATGCCTGCCCAATGCTCAGCCCTCCCTTCCTACTAACAAAACAACAGCCCTATCATTAATTTATCACTGTTATTATTTATGTTTATTGAGTGCCCACACTGCGCTAGCATTGTCCTAAACCCTTACACACATTTGACCCCCGCAATAATCCCCTCAGTGGGCAGGTTACAGATGATAGGGAGATGCAGAGAGTTGAAGACACACAGTGCTACTTGTAGGTATCCCAGGCCTATGCAGGGAGCAATACACCCAGTGTCTTAAGTTTCTTTGGAGCTGGGGTCCAGCGATTCACCCATTAGATATGAGATTTAAGGTAAGCTGACTTTCAAAAGTCATAAAGGATGCCCTACAACCCCCAATTATAAGTAAAACATGTTTACTACAAAAAAAAAACTTGGAAAATACTTTGTAACAAAAATATATGACCACACAAAATCCCATTACACAGAGAACATCCCCTGGTTCACATTCTATGTTTCTTTCCCTTCTTATTTCTATCCATATCTTACACGATTAACATTATCCATGCAATTTTATACCCGGCTTTATTTTTGACTCAGCATCGGCATTTCGCTACGTCATTAAGAAACTCTGAGGTCATTTTAGTTGTTTGCACTGTCTCATTGAATGGAGAGGCCATAATCACTTAACCCTTCCTCTAAAGTGGGGCATTTAGCCAGTTCCCAATGCTCTAGGGCAGACCTGTGCCTCAAGCTTTGCCCACATTTTTATTTCCTTGGATTAAATGATTTACATTAGCATTACTGGGTCAAATGACATGCACATTTTTAAGACTCTTGCTAGAGACTGTCAAATTGCAATTCAGATTTGAAAATGTCTGTTTCAAAACATCCTTGCCAGCACTGAATATTAACATTCTAAAAATTCTCTGTAATTTTTGATAAGTGAAAATTTTCTGTTTTGAATGGACATGTTGTGTTTACTAGTAAACATGAACTTTATTACCTGATGAAACCTGTGAATTCATGGGGCTGCTGCAGAGCAGTTAAGAACACCTGTAAAGCCGTGGCCAGTTGCTCAGTGGTTAGAGCATTGGCCCAAGGACTAAAGGGTCATGGGTTCAATTCCCAGTCAAGGGCATACTGTACCTGAGTTGCAGGTTCAATTCCTGGCCCCAGTCAAGATGCAAGCAGGAAGCAACCAATCAATGTTTCTCTCTCTCTCTCTCACCCTCTCCCCTCCCTTCCACTCACTTTAAAAATCAATGGAAAAAAACATCCTTACTCCTCGAGTGATAATTTAAAAAAGAACACATGTAGATCAAGTTGCCTGGTTTTGAACTCTGGGTCCCCACTTACAATATGTATGATTTGGGAGCTGACTATTTAATGTTTCAAAGCTCCCCTTTTCTTCTTTTAATAATTGGTGAGCATATTAACACTACCTCCTAGGGTCTTTGTAAAGCATGAATGAGAGATCCCATGTAAATTATACCGGCTATGGAGTAAGCGTTCAATAAAGATGAGCTCTCTGAATTTCTTCTTTTGTAAATGTACTTTTTCACTTAGAATCTTGATATCTTATCAATTTTTTTTACATGAAGAACATTAGCCCTTCGTCACATTTGTTGTGACTATTTTACAATTATTTCGGTGTCCCTCTTCTAATAAAGCTGCCGGGAGGAGTTCGTTTCTATTAAGCTCAGGTGTAGAAACAGGATGGGGTTTGATTTTCAGGGCTGCACCTCAGAAGACACGACTACAGTTTGTGGTGCTGCACTCCTAATACAGACGGGGTTACTGTCCCCACAAAGCAGAGCGGGAGCTGGGAAGCACAGCTCCGAAGCAGTTGATGCCCGAGCACCTGCCACTTCACGTCCCGGAAGGAAACTGTGGCGCTTTCTGGAGCCCAGTCTTTCTCAGCTCTGAACACACCCTCCCTGTTCACAAGGATATTTCCGTTAAAAGCCAAGACAAAGCCTCCTGCTCCAGGCTCCCCGACTGGACATCACACTTCTGTGCACTCGGTGTTTTTCTATCAACGGGGTTTGGAGGAGTGAGGATGCGTTCGCTTTCATTTTTTACGTCTATTAAAAATAAACATGCTGAGAAGCTGCCTTTCCGTCTCTTTATCAAGCCCCAAACGACGTGTAGCCTGTGTGGACTCGGCATTGACGAAAGCAATCAGCACGATTTATAAGGCGTCAGGAACAAACTCAGTTAAGGGCAGGCTTCCCCTCCATTGATCAAAACAGGTTTTAGCACAATGATGGGCAGCCAAGCAGGCAGGGCGCTGTCCCCAGCCCACCCCCCTGGCACCTGGGAAGCTCTTCTGCCAGGAAAGCTGAGAAACCACCTCTTTATGGGTCTGCACAAATGAGACGCGTTTCATGCTGAGTCAATTTAATCAATACTTTGCTTGCTTTGGAAACTCGGGGCATTTCAAGAGAGCAAAGCTATGATATGCAGTAAAACAGCTTTAAATTCTAATGAGCTTCTCTGTGCTAATTAGTGACTTTGCTAACTGGGAGCTTTCTTTGTTCCAAAGCACACCCTTGCCTTGGAGTGAGCAAAATGTGAGCCTTTCCTCTCTCAAATGTACCTTCCTTCGTCTTTTATTGTCAAGCCAGAAAGGGGAGTACTTTGTTCCTCTCGCCCCTTTAGAACTAACAGATTTTTTTAATTTAAGTGATTAGCATTGCATTTTGCCTCGTAAAAAACAGAAAGTGCAATAGATCAATTTCTCCTAAATCTCACCTGTCACTCTCTGGCCAGGTAACGGTCAGGGAAGCCCTGGAGGGTAAACGCATCGTCCAGCCGCTGCTTCCGGAAGAGAAACAGCCATATGCCCGCTCTGGCCCCCTCCCATTTCACGGTGAGATTTGGTAATTTGCAAATTGAGCAGCCATCATTATTTTCCGAGGAGCAAGCAGGGTCTCCACTCCTCCCTAGGAGAATGTGAGCCAATCATTTGTCCCGGCAACGTGAAGACTCTAGAGCACTTGAGAATTCTTAGCCATAAAGCTGATTACTAACACAGGAGTGGAGGGAGAGAGAAATCTCTTTCATCGGGGAAGGCGGTGAGAGAGGGTGAAAGCAGGAAGGAAAAGACAGAGCTCACGAGTGTTGTTATCAGACCAAATCAGAGCTTTTTGTGCATCGGAATTAGAACTTGGATGTGTGAGTGGAATTTCTCCCTTTGCTGCCTGGTTTTTGTCGCCGTCCGTCTGGTGCCCCTGTCACGGTCTCCATCTCGGCTCTTCTGTCCTTCCTGAGCACTTGAGGAAGATACCCTGCCTGCAAATAATTGCCTTCAGACCCCTGAGTCCCACTTAAAAGTCCTTAGGACTGATCAAGATAAACCCCAGCAGGCTTTTGTTTCCACTCAGAGTGCCCCTGTCATTTATTAGACAAACTAAAGTATCAATTTCTGTTTAAACATTAACAGGGTGATGCCAAATATTAGTCAGTTCCTAATAATTTTGAGGGATTAAAAAGATAATAAAAGTAATAGTCCATTACATTACCTACTTCAGCAAGATTGTAATGAACGTAATAAATTCTGGATCAGGGTTATAACAACTTCCATCTACTTAAAATGAATTTGTAGGGTTACTTTCATTAACTATGTACATGGGGAAAATGATCTGACATATTACTTTAAAAGAGCGGTGAAACCGATTAGGAGAAAATATGCTTTCCCGACAGGGATGCGGTCAACCCGGGACAACCGTGTCTGTGGGAGAGGGGCCGGGGCGGCCAGACAGCCGACTCTGTCCTCACCTGCTGGCTTGCTACTCTGAAGAAATTAATGACAGACTCAGTGCCGGTGAGTGAGGGTGGAGGAACCTTTTATCCCCCACCCCCCCTTTCTCCTTCTCTCTTTCCCTCCCCAGGTATATTCATGCCTGCTAATGAACCGGGGCTCGCTCTGGGAACTTCTGCAAGGAAATAAACCCAGGCCGGCAGCCCAGCCTGGCCTTTGGGCCCCCAGGGGAAAGCCGCCGCATTAAAGGGGCCCATGCCCTCATCGCTGGAGGAGACAAGGGACCGAGCACTTGGCTGCGCCACAGAAATTACTGCTGTACCTCGAACGCCCGCTTCATTTATCAATTTCATAGCAGAAAAACCCATATGGCTGCCTTGTTCACTCACACGCTAAATCTCGTAGCAGAAAGCTCCCCACCGCCAGTCAAGTGTGTTATGCGCGGGCCTGGATAAAGTAACTTGAAATACCACTAATGATTTATACTTAATTGAACCTCTAAGTGATTAAAGTGGCAGTAATGAATGAATAACACCCTCCTGGTTCCCCTGCCCCCGTGGCCCAGCGTCTCCAGGCAGAGTGAGCCTCGCCTTGGGAAGTCAGCAAGGACACCGGCGCGAGCCATTCTCCCGCTTTCCCCAGCCGCAAGTCTGGGTCCTGGCTAAATTGCTCTCACTTGCCGTAAATGACTCCATAAGCACCGTATCAGACCATTGATCCTTTTTATTAGATTATCCAATTGTAAGGTTAATGCATTTGCATTTGGCAAACGAAGACGGCCAGCCTGAATCCCACGCGGGGATGGGTGTTTAAATGGACACTTGAGGAGAGGGGCTCTGTCAACATATTGATCTGTTGGTGGCAGCACCCGAGGCGGGTGCCTCCCCGGCCCCACCCGCTAAAGGACATGCCAGGGGAGTACACTCCAGGGCTGTGTGTTCCTTAGGAGAAGCCCCCCTGACAGCCAGGAGGCCAACTGCTACCCACTCCTCACCCCCAGGTCAGGGGCAAAGGTGAGCGGTACACCTGGAGCCTGGAACCTGGCTGCTTTCTCTAAAAGAGGGAGAGCCAGGACCTAAATCAGTGACAAGGACACAGGCTTCCAAGGCCAAAGAACACCTTCTTGAACATCATAGAGTCAGATTTGGGCAGCCATCTCTACCCAGGCTTCTATACCCGAAGTGAATTTATTCTTGGGTTTTCTAGAGGCATTAACCAAATGCCATTTAAGTGGTCTGCTTTTGTAACGATTTTCTAGTAAGTAAATTTACAAGTTGGAAAAACATACTTTGTTGACTTAAATGAGTTCTACATTGGACAATATAATTGTGGTGTGGGGGAATTAGAAGTGACCCAGAGAAATCACCCCAGAAAACCATGTGCTTTTATAGATGGGGACACAGAGGCCCAGAGAAAAGGTGAAACTGACAGAGGGCCCCAGGGGGTTCATGGAAAAAGCTTCCCAGTCTTCCGCCTTCCAGAACAGCCTCCAAGAGGCAGGCAGCTCTCCCCTAAAAGGTGGCTTTGAGGCTGCGACTGCAAAGAAACAGCCTTTTTATACAAATGTCCTAAGACACAAGCCATATTTCATATTCAGCTGCATAAACTAGGTCTTTGTCTGGATTGTCCTGTGGAGTAAGAGTCGCTGTAAGTACTGCTTACAGGATGGGTTTGTTCAGCATTGTGACTCCCAGGACAGGGAGCTGGTTTCCTCATTGCAATTCAGTGCGCATTTTCTGCCGGGCACGCGCCAAAGGCAGCCCCTCGTGTGAGCTCATGTCCCAGCTCAGTCACATAGGGGACATGCTATCTCTCTGAGCCTCAGTGTCCTCATTTATAATAACCCCTCCCTTGCCAATTGTTTTGGGATTCAGTGGGATACTATGTGTGGCAATGACCAGCACAGCACGGCTCTGGTCCTTACCCATGTAGGGCTCCTTACCCATAAGTTCCCCCCATTCTGGTTTCCTAGGAAAGGGGTGATCCCCTGGGCCTTACAAGCACTAACTGATCGAGAACAGGTAGCTGGGGATAGGCCATGCCAGGGAAGGGAACTGCTTAGCTACCCAGCTGTCTCCTGCTTTGTCAGAAAGGCCAAGACCCTGTGTTCCCTCTCACCTCCCTCCCCTCCCTGCTGAAGGCTGGAGGCTGAGCCTTCTTTGAGTCTCTATGCAGACCCTGCCTGAATCTCAGAAGGGCCTAAGAGACCGTGAGAACGGGGTAAGGTCATTCTTAAAACAACAACCTAATTCGCTAACATTTTCAGAGCACTCTCATTTATCAAGTGCTTTGTACATACATTTAACCTCATCCAAACCTCCCAACAACATTGTGAGGCTCAAATGGCTATGCCCACTTTACAGAAGCAGAAACTGAGGCTTGCAGAGGCCACAGTGACACAGCTAGGAAGGGACAGAGCTGGGGTTTAAGCCCAAGCCCATTAGCCTTGGGGATGCATATTCTGTCACTGTGCCCCACGCTTAGGACTCACGGTATCTTTGTGGCAGGAGACAAGCCAGAGCTCAGCAGAGACCTCAGCTTCTCCTTCCCTTTCTTGCCCACTATTCCATTAAGCCAACAGCCCAGGGGCAGGCAAGAGGCAGGAAGGCATTTGTCCAGAGAGAAAACAGAGCTTCAGATATGAAGGAGGTGAAAAATCACTGAGTGAGCAACAGTTCACCTTGGTGAGTTATTGAGAAAATGCCAAGGTGGCAAGTCCAGGTGGTGACAGGGCCCCGGGGGCCCACAGGAAGGATGCCTATCTGATTGGGAGTGTGATGCGGGCAGATGCTCCCTGGAGATAGTTAAGGCTGATCTATCTGGGAAGGAGGACAAAGAGGCTCTAGATAGAATAGGCTATTTGTCCAGAGAGTTCCCAGTGTGAGAGCTCGCCGCCCAACAAGCTTCAGGCCTAAGCAGGTCACATTTCTAATCCCCATGGCCAGACAGTCATAGCCTCCATTCTAGGCAGGACACAAAGAATACCAGGGGCAGAAGAGGTCATTTTCCTGGAAAATCACAGACAGACTCTCTGTCTGTAAGCAAACCTGTGCTTGTCTGTAGGGGTATGTGTGTGTGTGTCTGTGTGTCTGAGCGTACATGGTATGCAGGACAGTGCCTCTGTGTGTGGTGGTGTCCTCCAGAGAAGACAAGAGTGGACGGTGTGTGTATTAGTGACTGTGACTGGGCACAGTGATGTCCAAGTGACTGTCTGCATCTATGGACCTGTGAAGGGGTTATGGCCTCCATGAGTGGTTTCATGGTCACCAGCTGAGGTCAGGAATGGTAGGAGAACAGTTGGCCCCATCAGCAATGTGACCATTCAGAGAATTATAAGCTATGGGACCTAGGAGAGAAGGCCTGCTTTGTTTTGAAGAATTGGGGAGAGCTGCCTGGAGGAGGGGTCATTTGCTCAGTAGTATCATCTTCCTGAGCCTCTAATCAGACAAGCCTGAACCTGAATTGGTGGAAATCTATATTACCAATCATAGTCATGTGTGGTTTATTGCCCCAGAGCAGACTGAGATGAGGGCACTGCTCAGGCCACACAGCATGAGGAGCCAAGGCAGTTACCAGGTATTTCACAGCCTGGACTGACCTGGCTTTTCATGAACAAAAGAAAGCCAAACCCCTGCCCAACGCTGGGCCCTGTCCCTATGAGCTGAACTGGTGTGGGCAGCAGAGCTCAGCTATGTGGCTCTGGCCTGCACGCTGGGGTCCCTGAATCCCACTTTCAGCACCACCACCTCTCACTGCTTTGAAACAAAGCCCATCCAGCAAGCTGAACCTCAGTTTCCTCATCTGCCAAATGGGGATATGATTCCTCCCTTACCTGAGTCATGCATGTGGAGACTGCAGTCCTGATCCTTAGTAGCTGTGCAACCTGAGCATCACCAAGTTCCCAAGGCTCTGTTTGTTCATCTGTAAAACAAGGATAATAACAGCAAATGAGATCATGCAGAGGAAAGCACTTTAATTATTTTTTTAAATAGCATTTGAAAGAAGTTACCTATGAGATGGAAAAGCTCAGCCGGTTCTCAGCTCTTGGCCCCATCTGCCACCCATGGCTGGGCATTTCTCAGAAGATATGGGCCCCTGGGTGTTGCCTTCAGGGTAAGAGGACCCAGATAGGGTGTTCCGGGGCCCCAAGGACAGGAAGGCCCGGGATGGAGTCTGCTGGCCAGAAGGCACTGGCCCGTGGCTCCATTGCTGCACGGCAATGATTCAGGAAAAGGCTGACAAGGATATTAGCAGTGTGGATTTTTTTTTTAATCCTGAGCCCAGAGAAAATGCACGGTCAGGAATAAAGGCGCCCAAGAGAGCAAGGAGAAAGAGAAATAATCAGAATTAGCCAGCGGGCGGGTAGCAGGAGCAGGGGCAACCCAGCCTCACGGAGGATAGGAAGGCCCTCTAGGACCCTAAGCTGGGGAGGCAGCCAGGGAGTGGACAGGCCTGGCTTGGCTCATGACGGGTGCTGCCTGCCCAGCCAGGACCTGGGCGGACTGGAGCCCAGCGAGCAGGCACAGTGGAAGACAAAGAAGCCATCGCCAGGTGAGTCCAGCACCCCCTGGAGCTGCCGTGCACCCCGTGGGCTCCTCCAGCCGCAAGGTAGTGGAAAGGGTCCTGGCCAAAGCCTGGAGAGCTCTGCTCCCTGTTGTTCACGGGGCTCTGGATGTGGGCACTGAGGTTGGGGGGCTGCCAAGTGGCTGCTGAGATACTGCAGAAAGGCTGCAGAAGCCTGGGCAGGCGGAGGCCTTCATGCCCCCTCCCTAGAAGTTGAAATGAGATGAGGATGACAGAGACCAGGGCCCAGGAAAGTCACGGCAATGCTCTCCCTGGCAGCCAACTGGGTGTATTCAGGTATTCCAGGAGGTGGTCCCCTGCCTGTTTTCAGAGCAGAGAGGACTGGATTTTGATGAGCTGGGGCAGAGAAATCCACTTTCATGGGCAATGGAACTGACATTCTTCCTAATTGAAACCTGCTTTTCACAAATCATGTTAGACTATCAGATTGCTTACGAAAAAACCTGTCCCGAGAGAGAGAGGGTGGGGGGCGGGGGTGAGGGGAGAGGGAGAGAGAGAGAGAGAGAGAGAGAGAGAGCGAGAGAGAGAGAGAGAGAGAGAGAGAGAGAGAGAGAGAGTGTGTGTGTGTTGGGGGAGGACAGAATTAATGCATCAGCCTCTGATTCCATTTCAGATTCCAAATTAATGGAGTATAAATTAATGACAAACGTGTGTGATGTCCTGAAAGTCGGATGCTTCTCCGTACCCCCACCCCCTCTGTCCTCGGGCAAAATGCTTCCCCTCCCTGAGCTGCTGTTCTGAGTGATATAGAGGAACAGGACTGCATGTCCCCATGTCACCCTCATTGTAGCGTGCTCCCCTTCAGCCTGGCCTTATTCTATGAGGGGCCTCAAATCGAAGCGTTTGACAGTGTCTGCATTAACATCACCCTTCTATGCAATTAAATTTTGCATGTGATGAAAGCATTCATTTGCTGAATGCAGCATTCACTACACGCAATTTTGATGACACCACTTGGGCCTCCTTTTTCCCCCGATATTGTAACACACCAGCATCTCCCATAAATGAAAACATCGGGGCCTCAGTCACCCTCTGATTTCTGAACCCCATTCCCAGTTCTTATCATGTAGGTTTCCTTTGCTCTCGAGTTCCTCGAATAGGTTCACTTCTGCCAATTCAGGGTAAATCAAGATCTCATCATTCAGGTGAAAGAGAAGCAGGTATGTTTCCCTGGAGCTTTGCTGATTGTCCAAACCTCGCTGTGAAAACTCTAAACTACACACTGACTCGGAGAGCCCGGCAGTGTTCCGAGAAGCACCGTGAGCCTTCAGCGTTCCTGTCCCCATCAGTAACTGAGCAGACACCCTGTGGCTTCGGTACTCCTCCCCAGGTGCCGGGGCAATGCAGGAGTCCCCAGGCCCCTCACCTCTCAGTCCACTCTCTATGGGTCACCTATGTGAGCATCAACCCCAAAGAAGAGCCCCCCAAATTTAATTTATTTCTACCTAAACAAGTTCTTTTATCATAAAGCAATAAATTTGTCTTGGTGCTAGCAATTTGTTGCGGGTGACATAACATTGCAAATTGATTAATCGCTACTGTACGCTGCAAAATGAGAAAAGCAAGGAATTATTATGAATAGCGTTCGTCTTTTACGGGAGGGATTCATTATTCAAAAGTGCTCACTGGTGCTTACATGTGCCCTCCGTGCAGATTACATCCATTTGCAGACTTCCCACATCATGCTTACACAAATCAACAAACGTGCATTTATTAAGACATAGAATGAAAGCTATTTAAAAGTGAAAAATGACCTTTTGCGTTACTTTTCTTCAAGGAAGGCAAATCGGGGTGGGATGATCCTGGGAAGGAGCCCCACAGTTGTCACGTGAGTGTCTCCGGGTTCTGTGCACGCTGCCTCATGCCAGAGCTACCCGATCGGCCTGCTCTGCCATTGGCAGCCTCAGGATCTGAAATGCCCCCGTGGTGGTTCTGGAAGCCTCGCTCTGGCTCAGGAGACTTCAACAGTCCACATCACTGCCTGCTGGGGAAGTGCAGCAGCTGGGAGGGCTCAGGTCTCTGAAACCAGCCTCCCTACTGCACTCAGCCGCCCTCGCTTGGAGGAGCAGGAAGCAAATATTAATTGAGCAGTACTCTGTACCAGACACTACCCTGCATGCTTCATTTGCATTAAGTCCCTCCCTTTCCCTGAACTTCATAGGACTGTTGTAAGACCTACTGAAATCACACACACACACATAAAGCTTACAGCAAATGCTCCTTACATGACAGCTGTTACTGCTACTTTAATCTCATTTAAACGTTCTCAAGGTCAATATTCTTATCACCACTTTGCAGAGGGGGAAACTGAGGCTTAGAAAGGTTGCCAAATTTGTCAAATCACACAGTGAGTAGTGAGCAGGACCAATCTTCAATTTCGGTCTGGCTCCAAACATTCATGCATTTTCAAGCTAAACCACCTTGTCCTCAACAGTCAAACTAAGGTATGTTTGCTTCCTCTAATCCAGTGGTCGGCAAACTGGGGCCCCTTGAGTGTGGCTCTTCCACAAAATACCACGTGTGGGCGCACACGTACAGTGCGATTGAAACTTCGTGGCCACACTCAAGGAGCCAAAGAGCCGCATGGCTCTCGAGCCACAGTTTGCTGACCACTACTCTAATCTAATGGGGGAGGCCACATACCATCCACACTGCAGCCCCCCACTCTTTACCTAGAGGTGTCAGAGGGGACATCTGAGAGGGTCAGGTAATTTCATGACCTCCCCCGTCTCACCCCCTTCTGTCCCCCCCACCAGTAGAGACCCATCTGTCTCTAACTCTGGTCCCCTCCTCATCCCTCCACTTGTCCCATAATCGCAAACTCTTCCCAAAGGAAGCTCATTGCCTGCCCCGGTGAAGGCTAACAGGCAGCTCACAACTCCAATATTGATTATTTTTGCTCAACTCATACTTTGTTTAAAAATAGACCGAGGTCTCAACTTTCATTTTATAATTAGATTTCAAAGCAACTTTCATAAAATGAGAAAGCTTTCATTATGTCTCTGTTGCTTATAGTGCCATTAGCTACTCCCCAGCCAGGCCAAAGGCCTGCTAATCCCTGCCATCACCCAACAAAGGAGAGTAGTTACTCATGCTCCTCTGAGAAACCTGCCTCAAATCACAAACCTGCCTCCAGGTGCCCAGAAGCCAGGGATGGTTGGGTTATAAGCCTGGGCTTGTGATCAGAGCTGAGAGCCGCCCCAGTGAGCAAGCACATCTCAAAAGAGTATAGTCTTTCTCAAAGGGTGTTCCTCAAACCACTTGCACTGAGATTACCCTTAGGCCTGTAAAGTATGTAAATTCTGCCCCCACCACACCAGTGGAGAACCACCAGGAAGTGTGGCCTGGCAAACGAATGTTTGATAAAATCCCTATATGATTTTTCTTTGCATGCTAAAATTTGTGAACTATGGTCCCGAATATTTCCCAAACTCTCTGCCTAGTTTTCTATGCCATCAGACTGAATCATTGATTGCTGCAAATTCTGGTTGACTCATTCACATCCCTCACTTTATGAAGAAGAAGCAACCTAACAAGGTGTTCACTATCTTGAGGCCCAGGTGGCTCCCTTCCCATCAATTGCCCCCACCCTAAGTCCCACCCTAAGTCCCTCAGGGCAATCCTGATTCTCCCAGTAGGACTAGTGTGCCCAGGCTGAACTAGGCAGGCCCTGGTTCATTTGCTGGGTACTCCGCAAAGCTGTTCCATGGGGGCAAGGAGAGACCAGACTTGCTCTGCTTATAATGTTCAGAAGTTATCAAGTACCTCTGTCCCTGGCAGCTGTTACCACTGTCATTGTTTTACACACCCTCAAGTATAGTTCTAAGAACTTAGTATGCCTCAGTCACAGTGAGGGCTTGCTGAGACACAGACTGCTGGGCCTTCTGACTCAATAGGTCTGGGGTGGGGCCCAAGAATTTGCATTTCTAACAAGTTCTCAAGTAATACTGCTGATCCAGGGACCAGATTTTGACACTCTAGAGTTTAAGATGCATGTTATCTCTCAGGCATCCAGTACATAATAAATAGGTGCACAACTTCTGTTTGCAGAATGAATGAGTGAGTGAGTCAATTATGTGAACTGCCTGCTCGAGGCCTCTAACTGGGGCTCCTCACTCTACTACACTTCATCTGTGATTACCCAACATCTGCCAGACATCTGTAAGAGTGCCCAGGAGGAGTACATGTCCTGGGATCAGGCTGTGGGCTCCCAACTGCAAGATAGGATTGGTGGCTTCTCACACTCACAGAAGCAGACCTGGCTCACCTAGGAGATCAGGAAGCTATGCAGGGAGTGTGGTAGCCCATTCCAACCTTGGTGAGGATAAAGGTGATTCTTTCCACCTCAAAAAACTGGCCCATCACTTCCTAGCGGGGTGACCTCAGGCTTGGCCCTTAGACTCCAAGAGGCCCAGTTCCTCATTCCCAAAGCCAGGCACTGATCATTACCTCCAGGGTAGCTGTGAGGACTCAATGGGACTGTGCAGGAAAAGGGCCCCACAACTCCCAACACATCTGGGGGACTTGGTCGATGTCTATTCCCGCCTTCATTCCCCACCATCCCAACCCCAGAGAAATGAGTCCCAGAGATATTTCGGGGAGTAATGAATTCCCTCATTTCAGCTAAACCACCCGAGATCCTGGTTTTGTGGAGACGTGCGATGAAACATGATAAATTATTGTTTTAAGCAGAAGCTTCATTCAAATATCCATTTCCCTGTCAAGTTAATTTTGTTTCGATGTATTTTCTAGCGAGATTTGACGGGGAGCATAGATAGTACATAAACAGAAGTATACTCCCTGAGTAATAGGGAGCTGATGGCATGGGGGAGGGAAGATCTGGGGACTGTGAGGAACTTGAACCCCCATGTCCCAGTCACTGTGGGTGGGTGACATAGCTCTGAGGGTAAATTCTAGGCAGCTCAGATCTGTTCGCAGGGCATGGCATCGCTAGGCAGGGAACTTTACCTAGGATCACCCAAGAAAGTAGCCTTGTATCCAGCCTCCGGTTATGCCTGGAGCCAAGGCCTCCAACATATTATCTCACTTCCCCCTTGTCCCCTAATAACAAGGACATTCTCTGACATAACCACTGCACAATGGCCAAGATCAGGAAGTCCACAGATAGCAATACTTTTGCCTACTTCCTGGCCCATATTCAAATTTGGCCAGTTCTCCCACTCATGCTATTGATGGTCATTTATTTTATGTCAGGGTCTGGTTCAAGATCACATACTGCATTTACTTGTCACGTCTCTTCAGACTCCTTCAATCTAGGACAGTTCACCTCTCTTTGTCTTTTGTGACCTTGAATTTTTTTTGAAGTGTTCAAAACAGTTATGTTGTAGACAGTCTGTCAGTTTGTGGCCTCATAATAAGATTCAGGTTGTGATTTTGGGGCTGAAATAACACAAAAGTGATGTGTCCTCCTGGCCTCGCATCTGTCCCATTATTGGTGATGTTGATCTTGATCCTTGGTTAATGTGGTGATCCCGGGTTTCTCCACTGTAAAGATATTATTTTCCCTTTGCTATCCAAAAGTAATTTTTGGAGGGATACTTAGAGATATGGAACTATCCTTGCAGTCACTCGTTTTCATCTGCATCAATTACTACTGTGATGGTGGGCAAATGGTGATTTTCCACGTGTCTCCTACACTTGCCAGCTGGCAACATACTGTAAGAACACCATCACAAGAGCTTTCCCTTCTCCCCATCTAGCTATGTATTCATTTATGGTTTTCTGACTGGATGGACTCAGGGACTCTTATTTAATGTGTTCTAATCCGTTGTTATTGTTATTTGATGCTTGAATCGCATGATCGCATTTCATCCTCATGACAACTGGGTGATATTATCAGAGACATCCAGATTTTCACCTTCGGTCCTGCATCTGCATCTGCAGGGCTCTGCTTCCTGACTCTCAGCCCAGCCTGTCCCTGCAGCACCCTTTCGGTTCGATGTTCTTGCTGTGGAGATAGGAGTCCACATAGTGTTACCAAGCCCTGATTTTCCAACCTCCCTCCCAAGCCCCATGTGAGGGGGCCTGTAGGGTAGAAAGAAGCCTGACTTCCTCGGTATGAAGCAGCTCAGTCTGGAGGCAAGGAGGGAAGCCTGTTACCTAATCTGTGAAATGGGTTCATTCACTGGGATGGCTGTTGACATGCTGCCCCAAGAGCTCTTGGCACAGACCACTTTTTTAAATCAGTAAGTCTGGCTGTGTGAGCTTGGCCAGCCCTGAGTTCATCATTCAACAAAAATTTGCTGAGCACCTATTATGTGCCAGGCTCTGGGATAACCTAGACTTACAGCAATGAGCAAGTCAGACCAGGTTCCTATTTCACGGAGCCCATATTCATGTGGAGTAGATAAAATCATCCCCCAAATAAATATTCAATGATACAGGGCTTATAGAGGCTTATAGAGAAGGGATCATTATGCTGTGAACATCTCTAACAGGGGAATTTGACCTTGTTTAGAGTGTCAGAAAAAAAGTAGACACCTTAAAAATCAAAGACATCTTATAACATTCTTGATCTGAAACCATTTGTCAAAGCAGAGAGGAGGAAGCAGAGACTCAGATTGGTCAAGCAACTTAGCCAGGTTTGCACAGCAGTGGAATCCAGACTCAAATCCAGGCCCATTGACGCAGCTGATCTGCCAAAGTGGTTCCCTAACGGCCTATGTCCAACTTAGCACACTTTGTTTCCACTGTGACACTGCAGGGCCTCGCAAGGCGGAAATGACTTTCTAATAGGCCCAAACATTCTCTAAATCAGGGTGTTTCTTTTTAAACGACTAAAGCAAGAAAAATTGACCAGGCCTGAGTATTAACAGGAATAGATTCATGCCTACCACTGGACCTCTGAGATCTGTAATTGTACACCAGGCTGTGGGCTAAGGATAGAGGGCGGCTGAGAGTCACCCAGATGGGTCCAAGGCCAGAGCCCATGCTCTTAACCCCAGCACTAGACTGCCTCCCTGGGATGTCCATCTGTCTGTCTGAGAAGGTACAGGCAAGGCCTCAAGCCCTCAGAGCAGCCAGGCAAATTCCAGGAGAGAG